GACTCTAATATACTCTAGAACGACCCTTCAGGCTTGTTAAAAGAATGTAAAAGTGCCCAGCGCAGAACGGACCTGTGTGGAACCCCTAGCTGCAGCTGCAGCTCAGCACAGAGTGTTCAGTCAACCTGGCCGGGTCTTTGAAAAAAAGATGTCTTGCTCTTGCTCAGATGCAGTAATGCTGCCTGTTAGCTGCAATTATTTGGACAGTCGGGGGGACGTAGCCAGGAGGTTCGTCATTATTTCATTATTTGTTTGAAATGGTTAGGTCTGGGTCCACATGTTTGTGAAACTTACTTCCGACCAGTGCACTACAATATTTACAATACTACAATCACCAACTGTCAAAGTATTCCTGGACTCCTGGCAGTCTTGCTCCTGCAAGTTTTTGTGCGCTGGACTGAGACTTAGAGTGTGTGGCTGCTAGAGTCTGCAAGAGCTGCTAGAGTCTGCTAGAGACAGTTTGCAAATTGTGGCCGCAGGATCTTCCTGGTCTTCTTCCGCAAGGACAAATACACGGAGGCGGATGTGTCCCGCTTCGAAGCAATCGTTGAGGAGCTCAGCCTTCAGTATTGTAGTGTTATTACAGTTACAGTTACAGTTACTGTTACTGTAGTTTCTGCCGTCAGCGTTCAACCATCTTGTAAAATGTAGATTTGTAGATTGTAGATTGCAGATGAGAGTTTCTAGATTCGGGTTCTTGTTATTATTGTTGTTATGTTCTAATACTCTATTACTATAGCTTCCCTTGTCTGAAAAGTCTTGACTTGTGCTGCACCGTTGCTGTCAGGACATTGTGCTGAAGCAGAAAGCTGCCGGCCCAGTCGATTGCGAGACCTTGCTGTCAGAAGAGAATGAGGACACGGACGGTGGTTCCAGAGTTAGTGACAGTTGGTGGTATTCACTGGTAGTGACGATGGAGCTTCAGGGTGGGTTGATTTAGAGCCATGAGAATGGAGTCCATCGGTGTCCATCCCTGAGCTTGTGCTGTAGCTGGCTTTGCCGATCCCATGAGTTAGCAGATCTCAGTCTCTTTAGTGAAGCGCGTTTGATCTTGCAGAATCTTGCAAGCTGCAAGCAGCAACACATGTCTGGTGAGTCTGCTGGTCGTTTAGTGATGTTTCGTGGCAAGTTTCGTGAGGAGGACGTGGCTGTTGGGCAGCCTCGGCAACTTCAGGCGTTTGCAGCACTGCTGTGTCCAGAACCTGGCAGACGTAGTTTCACTCCTTTGGCAGTCGGTCGCTGTGAACTCTTGACCATGCTTAGCCGTCTTACGAGTCTTAGCTGTCTTAGCTGCTTAGCTGTGGCTGTCGCTGTAATTACTGTGCTTGTTGCGAGGCTTCTGAACCCAACTTGGAAACTTGTTGCTGTTTCGTCGATTGTTCCTATGAAGTAAAGCCGCTGCCCTTCAGAGATCCCTTTCCAGGCCCTCCCCATCTCCCGACCCCCTCCCAAGCCTCGGCCCTGGGACTGCCCGGACCCCGGCCTTGCATTTTTTCGCATTTCAACGGAACGGCTTCCAGGACTAGTTCTTCTCTTACATTGGGAGAGCCATTTCCCTTGCATTTTCCAGTCCATGTGTTGTTGCATTTAATTCCCACTTACTCTCCTCTGGTTTCCATTTCATTCCCATTCAAATCCCATTTTTTTTGCATTTTGCCTAGCAAAATGCAAAAAAAATGGGATTTGAATGGACCAAAAATGGGGTCTGGAATGGGGTCTGGAATGGCGGAAACATGGAGGTCCAAATGGGTTGAAAATGCCGCTTTCCAGGCCCAACCCGCCGGACCCAGCCAGCCCAGTCCCGAGCTCCCCGGATGCCCCGACCCCTTCCTCCTGGCTGTCCTGCCCGCCTGGCCTGGCACTGCCCTGCTGCCAGGTTTTGGACACTGATGACCCGACGGCGCCGAAGCCGAAGTGGTGGTTTGAGAGCTGCAGCTGGCGCGACAAGCTTGGTGTACTCCCTGATTATCGGCCTTGGACGAGCCGTCCGAACTTTCGTGGTTCAGGGCTGACTTTGAATCCTCGAATCTGTGATCTCATGGATTGTGTCGTGGCAGAACGGCTCATGTCTGTGAGAAAGCTAGGTGTGAGGCTGACTGATCGGCAGCTGCGGGACTTGATGCAAGGCGTTTGGTTGGACGTGTCGCAATCTCACAATCGAAAGGTTGTCAATAAGACCAGCGTCCACAGGACGCTGACAACCTCAAGCCAGGTGTATGTGTTTTCCAGAGATCGTGTTCTCACGGTAGATGAGCACTTTCGCCTGCAGGGGCATGACCCTGATGACTATCATTTTCCTGCTGACATGACAGACAACAAGAAGCGGAGCCTGGCGGGAGAGGGCTATGCACTGCCGTGCATAGGCACGATTATCTGGGCACTCTACCTCTGCAAACAGTTTCCTGAGTAAATCCGGACTTTTCAGCGATGTGCAGATTCCATGCCTTAATTCGATGGCTGCAAGCTGCAAGCCCTGCTCAGGGACAGCTCGGATCTGGTTGGACATTACGACAGCTTTCATGACAGGGAGAGAGTCAACTCTGTCAGCCTTTGTGGGACTTGCTTTAATCGTCCATCTCTTATGCAACCCCAAACCGAAACTGAATCCCAAAACGAACCTTCAACCTTGCGCTTGCACCGTAGCCTTGCAAATTATCGTTAGGTCCAGCTGCTGAGAGAGAGGCTTCCTTGCAGCATTCGGCGAAGAAGTAGAGTGCGACATATAGTAGACTTGGAAAGTCAGGGTGACTTTACAAAGTAGGTAGTAGCAGGTAGTACATTAAGTAGACTTATTGAATGGGCTAGTTCCAATTACAATCCTTTTCAGGGTACTGATGAGTCTGCTTCGTCACAGTCTGTTTCGTCTACTTACCACTTACTTGCTTACTCACTTACTCAGTCATTAAGTTCCCTGCTTTCCAAGTATAGAGTAAACGACGTGGAGCGACGTCGAAGGAGCGACGTGGAGCGACGTCGAAGGGATGTTTTTTTCTCTGCCGGAACACTGTTCGTAACAGTGTTCCCTCTGGTGCCTTCTGTGGAGTGGCATGCTGGTGCAGTGGCCATGGTTTGGATAGATAGCCGCGTACCGGGTAGCAGTGCACTGTCCCATTTCTAGACTTTAGGTCACTCTAGGACTCTAGGTACCATGGTTCTATAGGGCATAGATTATGATTAGGATTCTTGGAATCATTGAATTTATATAGGCTGTGTCAATGCTATGCAGAAAATTGTTTGGGAACGGCCCAAAACAGTGATGTGATCGTGATCAACTCAGCATGCACACAGACTATCGTGTGATGCAGCGTTTGCATGACCCGACGCCGACACCAGGCCTGGCCACTGACATGGATCTAGGTAAAGTCCGAGAGCCTCCAAAATACCTGAAATAAGGAATGCACCTTAATTTGGAATAGGACTCCGAATAATCGAATATAGACAATCTCACGCTCCGGGATACCCTCTTATCCTCTAGCCAACAGGTGAGATGCTCACCGTCCTTTCGTTTGAAATCTTTGTTCATGTTTCTAAAAATTTTATGAAGGAAAGGTGTGGCGCTTGATCTGATGTATTGTTTTTCATGCCATGCCACTTTTCGACCTTTCGTTTTATGCATGGAACAAATTTTTGGGGATGCCCATGCATCGACATTCGATGACTCACTATGTTGATTATATCCTGCAGGATATGCGGCTCTGAAGGCTTGAGGGCAGGATTCGCGTGTTGGAGTCCTTTGAGAATCGCATCCGAGCATTGGAGTCGGCCCGGGATTATACAAACCATCGTGTCGTGTGGCTGGAGCGCATTGTGCAGCGGGTTCGCGCCTTTGCTGCTCAACTTGCATAGCTTACATGGCAGGTGAACTTGTGCAAACAGGGCATCCGGCGACAGACCGGCCCAGTGGTTTGGGTATGGGGGATTGGCTTAGGGCTCGGATTAGGGCGTCTAGGGCACCTTACCCTCCGACAGTGCAACATGCCATGACCGTGTTGCATTCCACATCGTTCGAGATGCCTTTGCCTTGGGATACAGGTATGCTGTCTTCGGTTCTTGGGTCTAGGGGCTTCCTGCCGTCACCTCTTGTGTCTTGGAGTCCGGATCATGCCACCCAGGGGCCGCAGGTCTGCGAGACTCCTCAGCAGATAAGGTCTAGAAAGGAGCCGTGGAAGGCAGCGGTGGTCCACTCTCGGTCTTGGGCCGACCATGAGGACGATCGACGGACCGCGGCACTTGAAATGTGGCGGCTGATCATCTTGACTTCGGGAAAGGGCACTAGGGTTGGTAAAAATCTTGCAAAGATGCAGCAGGAGGGATCATCGGCAGATGCTGTAGATCAATGCCTTAGGGATGTGTTCTCGTCTAAGTCAACTTCTACGCTCAAGGCTAGGGCTGCAAGTTTGGCACATTATGCACGGTGGAGGGCATCCGTTGGTCTGGACCCAGCGGTCTTTCCTTTGGACGAGGCCGAGGCTTACTTGTACGTTTGCTTCTTGAGGAGTGAGGGGGCTCCCAGGTCCCGTGCACCGCGCTTCCGCGAAGCAATCAATTTTGCAGGCGCGATGCTAGGTGCAGACGTAAGCGATGCATCGAGCTCGGCGCGTATCCAAGGGGCTGCAAACCCTCAGGTTCAGGCTGTGGTTGTTCGCAAGAAGGTACCATTGACGGTTGCTCAGGTCAGGGCACTTGAGGAGTTTGTCTTGAATTCCGACAACGATCTAGCGGCGGTTTTGGCTGGCTACGCCTTGTACTGCCTCCATGGGAGGCTGCGCTGGAGTGACGCTCAGCACACTGAGGCAGAGCCGACATTGGATGTTCATGAGGGCAAGGGATTCTTGAACGCCCAGCTTTATCACCATAAAACTGCTAATCGGGGATCGTTGGCCAGGCATCGGTTGCTGCCAGTGTCCTGCATCTCGCCCGGTCTTGCGGAGGGCAGTTGGGCGGAAGCTTGGCTAGAACGGCGGCGACGGCTCGGTCTCAAGGCGTCAAGGGGCGTGCCTATGATGCCGAGGCCTCTGTGCACTGGGGGATTTGATTCTCTACCGCTTGATCCGTCTCTCGGGGCATTGTGGTTGCGTGAGGTTCTGAAAGAATGCCAACCCTTAGATCTGGACGTCAAGTGGGGGGACATTGCTACCCACAGCTTGAAGGCAACACTTTTGAGCTACATGGCCAAGGCGGGTGCTCCGGAGAATCTGCGTGCAATTGCGGGGTATCACTTGAGGTCCGCCAATTCCTCTACTCTTGAGTATTCCCGCGATACCCTGGCACCGGCATTGCATTTCTTGGAGTGTATGTTCCTGACCATAACGAGCGGGCTGTTTGCACCCGATGCTACCAGGGCTGGGCGCTGGACCCAGGGAGTGCGCTCGGTGGATGATGCGATCCGATTTCTGTCGGGGAAGCCGGCTCCAAGTCAGGCCGCGGGACCCGGCCCGGCCGAAGCTGCGGGGGCCGACGAGGCTGTGCAGTCTGATCCGGAATCGCCAGCGGAGAGCATTGGGTCTGCAGGTGAGGCCGAGGAGGCGGGAGTGTCCATTTTTGCGCTTGGGTCGGACTTGCAAGTGTCCGACGACGCCAGGCGGTCCGTTCGGTGTTTTCAGCATAAGCTGAGCGGGGTGATCCACGCAGCTAGGGATGATCAGCCTCCAGATGAGGGGGAGATGACAGTCTTCCGGTGCGGCCGCTTTGCAAACCGAAACTATGAGCTTCTGGACGAGGTGCCAACCATCATGCTTCACAAGTGCTCCTCGTGTTGGGGGGCCAAGGACTTGAGGCAGTGATGTGAGAAAACAGTCGGAGCCATGCTAGGCATGTTGCTTTTGTCCTGGTGCACTGTATCTGCGGTTGTGATGTGACAGACGAATCAATCCTTCTCATGGCGTCTCTCTCTCTCTCTTGGCTGTCGATGAGTAGCTGAGTCAGTTGAGGAGGGACGTCCCATGCAGGACGTACACTTGTCGTGGTATGCACGCAGGTCTAGTGCTCGAAGGTGGGCTCGCATGTGAACATGTTCGTACACGGAGATGCCATGATGATCGTACATTTTAATTTTCCTTTATCGTGTGAGTTCGGGCAGGGCTTTAGGACGTGGCGTAGATTCTTGCACCACCATGTCGGCCATTGATAGCGAAGCTGTTTTCCTTGCGAAGTGCACCCAGCTTGGATTACCTGAGGAGGCCAGGAACCAGTTGAAGCGCAAGGGATGGTCGACCTTCGGGACATTTGCCTTTTGTGTCCCGGGCGAGCCTGGCCGTATCGCTGAGGATGTGTTCAAGACCGGTGTTGCGACCCCGATCCTGGGGGCAGATGGCGATGAGCATCATGCTAAGCTTCGCCGGTTGCACTTTGAGGCGTATGCACTCACTGCGGCCGAGCTCAAGCGCACGGCCGAGTCGACAGAGTCTGATCAGCCGCGTAAGGTTCCGACGGCTGAGCTTGCGGCTAGGTACAATGTCTTGCAGCGCAGGGTGTCGCCTTTGCGATTAGTAGATAGGCTTGAACCTTCCCACTCCTTGGTAAACTTGGCGGCCCAAATGCTTGAGGATCAACGCGTGCGATACATTGAATGGTCAAAGTGCACAAGCCGGGCCCAAGAAATAAATCTTGTGAAGGAGGATTCCAGCTTAAAGGTCCTGCAAGGTGGTCGGACCGGTGCGGTCAAACTTGTGGATCCGGGATCTCGGCTCACGGCTGAGACTAAGTCCGACCTGGAGGTGATGCAAGCCCTCCGCAGGCGCGGCGTGGCTTATGAGCTTGCTGCCATCATGACGTTTGAGCGGCATGAGGAACTGATTGATCGCTTGTTCATGGAGTATCAGCGTGAGCCCATGCAAGGGTTCCATCCTGTGTCCCTGGCACAGTTGCAGGCCGCCGATCGTGAGATCCATGTGCGTATGGGTGAGCATACACGGGCGGGACTGACCCCGGATGCGACCGGCGCTCTCCCGCTGGATGGGCCGCTTGGAAAGGTTCTGAGCGGACCGCACATCCATTGGATGCTTATGCCGCGCCAGAAGGGCTCTGCTTCAGTTGGGGATGCCACTGAAAAGCCTCCAAAGTTGCCAAAGCCACCAAAGAAGACCGATCTGTCGAAGGCGACGGACAAGGATTCAAGGGGCGACAAAGACCAGAATGCTGGCAAGGGGTCGGGGCCGAATGCGGCCGAAAAGCCGACCAAGCAGCGCAAGGTGCGCTTTGTTATGCCAAAGGCTTTGATAGGGGGAGTGCCCCGGGATGATAGTGGGAACAACATCTGTTTTGATCACAATCTGAAAAAGTGCCCCAACGCCGCTGGCTCCTGCCCGAAGGGGGCTCATGTGTGCTGCTACCCGTCGTGTTTCGACCCAAGTCATGTCTTCTCTCATCACAAGTCGTCTTGACTAGGGTCAGGGCCACAAAACACGTCGCAGGTACGTGCAGCTGCGTCCACACCCGTGCATGACACTGCCAACAGCCATTTTGGCAACCGCAGTGATTCGAATGCAGAAAAGTTTGCCTCGGCATGCGTCGGCAAAGTCGATGCTGCTACGATTCTTCACTTGTTGAGCCTTTTGCCATCCGAGGCCCCGTCTCGCGGCTCGCGGATTCAGGGCCACGGATCCGAGTTTTCTTTTACGACCGGCGCATATACTTTTGATCATGGTGAGCGACATGGTTTGCGACAGCATTGCCGCGAGTTCCCACACACAACCAAACTCTTGAATGCATTTATGAGGCAACAGGCGCCAACTGCGGTTTATACCACCTTGGCCCTGTTTCGTGATCTTGAGACGCGGGTTCACTCTGACAAGGGAAATGACCCCCAGCAGCTGAATACCATCGTTAAGGTGTCAAACTTCTCCGATGGCGGCCTCTGGATCGCAGACCCGCAAGGCAAGGTGCCATGCCCTCTGTCCGACGAGCAAGCACATGGACGTGTCCTGCCGTTTAATGGACAAGTTTTGTCCTTTGATGCACAGCAGCCTCACTGTGTCATGCCGTGGGCTGGGGGTTCACGGGTGGTTCTCGTCGGGTTTACGGTTCGCAACCCTCATGGGATTAGCCCTGGCCATAGGGAGGAGCTTTCCGCTTTGGGTTTTCCTCTCCCTGGTAGGCGCCCTGACTCGACGGCCGGTCCCGAGTCCCCCCTTAAGTTAGGTGTCGCAACGGCGTTGCAGGAACCAGGGCCGACAAACCCGGTCCCAGTCGGCCCGATGCGGCCTCAGGCATCCGACCGTAACGCGCCACCTGAGTCCTCTGGTGTGTTGCGCAACAGTGGCAAGTCAATCAGACCTTCGTTCCTGGAGATTTTCTGTGGTTCCGCCGGTTTGTCTGCGGCTGTGCGAAAGTTGGGATTTCAGGTTCTCGGCGTCGATCACAAGCCCACCGCTAAGCATGCAAATGCACCCTTCATCAGCCTTGACCTGCGTGACCCTGAGCAGCAGGAACGCTTGTGGGTGGAGTTACGGCGCGCGGATGCCGTCTGGCTGGCGCCCCCATGCGGGACCTCATCTAGCGCTAGGTCGATACCTCTCGGCAACTCCAAACACGGCCCCAAGCCATTGCGGTCCAAGGAGTTTCCCGATGGGCTCCCAACACTGGCGGATGTGGATCGTGACCGCGTCAACAGTGCAAATTTGTTGTATGACTTTACTGCAAAGGTCTTCCGTTTCTGCAAGTCCAATGGCATCTTGTGCATTGTGGAGAATCCCGTCGGCAGCCTGATGTGGCGCACTTCGTGGTTCCGTTCAGAAATTCCAGATGGTTTCTGGCATGAGCTTCATGCCTGCATGTACGGATCTTCCAGGCGCAAACGCACGGCTCTGCTGGCCACTTGCACTTTGCCCGGCTTGATGCTGCAGTGTGATGGGGCGCACAAACATAAGCGATGGGGTCGGTCCCGAGACCCACAAACCGGGCAATGGAAGTATGCCACTTCCGAGGAAACGGCCTACCCTGCCGGCTTCTGTGCTGCCGCTGCTCGCGAGATCCAGCTGGCGCTTGAGCGTGTTGGCGTCTGTGTGCAACCGTCCGAATCCACTGACGGCGCAATCGCAGCGACCTTTGCACAGCGCCAGCCACGGCGGGGCCGTGGTGTCGTGGGTCCTGCTGAATACAAACGCCTGCACCGCATTATCTTGCCGCGGGACTTTCAGCCACCGGAGTGCGTTCCCGCTGATCCGCCGCCATGCTTGGTTGACATCCCTTCGGGTTCAAAGCTGCTATGGACTCGCGTCTTTGTGGATGGGGGAGTTGAGCGCCGCGAGGCAGAATTTGGGGTGTACCACACACCTCAAGAATTCTTGAAAGAGGCCATGGCAACCACGCATCCCTTTGATAGTGCCGTGTCCATTGACGGTCCGAACCTTAGGGCCATTGCCTATACTCTTGAGCACGGGGTTGCAGCTGTAAAGCAGAAGCGCCTCTCAGTCTTGGAGCATTATAGGGCGCTTGAGAAATCACTGCGGGAGGATGAACGTGAGCTTAAGCAGTCCATGGACCCATCAGTCCGGGAGGTGATGGGGTCCAAAAATCTCCTGCTGTTCAAGCAGATGTTGCTGGATGCCGGTGTGCCTGACGAGCACCTCTTCGAGGATATGGTTCGGGGTTTTAGACTCACGGGCCCCTTAGAGCCTTCTGGGTTGTTCCCCCCTAAGTATAAGCCTGCGTCTATCTCGGTGGACGAACTCCGGCGCACGGCCTCTTGGTCGAAACACCTGATCGAGGCGGCCTGCCGGAAAGCGTCTAAAGACCCGGATGTTGCAAGGTCCGTTTGGGAAGAGTCTCTTGCTCAGGTGAAGAAAGGTTGGCTCGCCGGCCCTTTCACTTGGGAGCAAATGGACCAAAAGTATGGTGGCACTTGGGTGGCTTCCAAAAGGTTTGGGGTTTCCCAGGGTGACAAGGTTAGGGCGGTTGATGATTTGTCGCAGTTTCAGGTAAATGCCTCCGTTACTGAGACAGAGAAGATTCAGCTTGAAGGGCTCGATGATATTGTGGCACTTGCGAGGTTCCACCTGGGCTCCACAGTGGCCGGCACAAAGGTTTTCCGGCTTCCTATGTCCGGCGGAGGCGTTTACCAGGGCCGCCTGCATAGGGACTTCAGGGACGGACGGGCAAGAAATCTGAAGGGCCGAGCCCTAGACTTGCGGAGCGCCTACAAGCAGTTAGCCCGGCACCCTTCAGACGATTGGGCATCGGTGCTAGGTGTCCTGGACCCAGACACCGGCACCGTCTCTTACTTTGAGAGTTCCGCGCTCCCGTTCGGAGCGTCGAGCGCAGTGACAGGCTTTAACCGGGCCGCCCGAGCCCTGCGCATTATCATGTCGAGACTTTTGCTCCTTGTGAATACGTCATTCTTTGACGACTTTTGCCAACTTGAGATCGATGGTCTGACCGACTCGGCTGATCAGGCTGCGCTTGCATTGCTGGACCTTCTTGGCTGGGAGGTGTCTGATGGCGACAAGCTTAAACCTTTTGCTTCGGAGTTCACTATGCTTGGGGCCGTGCTATCCTTCAAAGATGCTGGCAGGGGCTTGATTAGGATTAGAAATAAACCTGGGCGAGTGGAAGAGATTGGCGACATGGTGGAACGCCTTGCCTCCGACCCCGGTGAGGGGGCGCGCTCTCTTCCTTCCCTTAAGGGCAAGCTCTTGTTTGCAGCCTCGCATGTGTTCGGCCGTTGCGCACAGGTGGCTACGCAGCTTATTCATCATGCTGAAAAGCACCAAGGTTCAGGGGCCCATGCTTGTGTCGAGGCGGCTGTACGTCGCGCTTTGGATACCTTGAAGGCTGCTGGGGATCGTCAGGTGAACCTGTGGTCCGAACAGCCGCCTGTCATAGTTTTCACAGACGGGGCGTGTGAAGAACGCGGCTCTCAGGTGACGCATGGGGCAGTCATCGTGGACGTTGCATCGCAGACCTATGAGGTGTTCGGGGGCCACATCCCAGGGCCTCTTGTTGAGGTGTGGCGTGGGTCCGGACGAGTGCAACTGATTTTCTTCGCAGAGCTTTATCCAGTCTTGATTGCGAGGCGCACTTGGGGAAAGGTGTTGAGGAATCGGAGGGCACTGTTCTTTGTGGACAACGAAGCTGCCAAGGCGGCTTTGATCCGAAATTACTCGCCCTTGGTTGACGCCGCCAACATGTTGGCGGATATTGCTGAGCTTGATGTCGTGAACCACTGTTTTCCATGGTACTGCCGGGTGCCATCAAAGAGCAACTTTTCTGATGCAGCTTCGAGGTTATCCTTTGGGGAGTATGAGGAACGCTTCCGAAAGGTGCAGCCCATGATCGAGGCAGCTTGAGGACGTATGCGCGGTGATGTGTTGATGGGGGAATGAACACCGCTTTGATGTGCAAGGGCCATCAGGGCATGTGAAGGTGTTGTACGGCGTCGGCTGTTGGCCGAGTCGAATCGATCGTGCATTCCCCCGTCGAATGAAAAAGATCGTCCGCCTGTGAGCGCATTTCAATATGATAACCTTTATGATCGGGATACGTTCCCTTTTCAAATAATGGATTTGAATCCGGAATAATTTTTATGATATGTTCCTGATTGCTCTTATATTTCATATGAAAGGATTGGCAAAGAAGGATAAAGACAATCTCACGCTCCGGGATACCCTCTTATCCTCTAGCCAACAGGTGAGATGCTCACCGTCCTTTCGTTTGAAATCTTTGTTCATGTTTCTAAAAATTTTATGAAGGAAAGGTGTGGCGCTTGATCTGATGTATTGTTTTTCATGCCATGCCACTTTTCGACCTTTCGTTTTATGCATGGAACAAATTTTTGGGGATGCCCATGCATCGACATTCGATGACTCACTATGTTGATTATATCCTGCAGGATATGCGGCTCTGAAGGCAGAGCGATTTTGAAAGTTTTGACCCACCCTCCCACCCTGGGGGGGAATGAACACCGCTTTGATGTGCAAGGGCCATCAGGGCATGTGAAGGTGTTGTACGGCGTCGGCTGTTGGCCGAGTCGAATCGATCGTGCATTCCCCCGTCGAATGAAAAAGATCGTCCGCCTGTGAGCGCATTTCAATATGATAACCTTTATGATCGGGATACGTTCCCTTTTCAAATAATGGATTTGAATCCGGAATAATTTTTATGATATGTTCCTGATTGCTCTTATATTTCATATGAAAGGATTGGCAAAGAAGGATAAAGTTTAAGGTTTCTTGTAGTCACTGTAGTCACATTACTTATTTCAGGTGTTTTGGAGGCTCTGGGGAAGTAGTTCTCTACAGCGTCCAGGCAATGTGGTGCAGCGATAGCAGTGACGCTGTGCACGAGTGCTGTTCCAGCAGCTACACGCAAAGCCCAGCCTTATGCCTTGTAGGTTTTCACGTCTAAGCTGTAGGCCTATAGGCTCTGGGCCTAGGCTCATAAGCTTGTTAGTCGGTCATAGCAGTCCGGTTCATATTGCAGAAGCTGGCAGCCCATCACATTGCTAATGTGCCTGCGCGCTGAGGGAGTTTATAGAACAGTGCAGCCTTCCGAAGTTGATGCATGAGAAGAGAGTTTCAATTTCCGGTCACACAGCTGTTGCCATGTCTTGCTTGGAGAGTCGAGGGGCTTGGTAAGTAGGAAGTATATTTATAAGCACCCTACGCAAACCTTGATTGGAATAATGGGGCTACTTAGTTTTGTCCACTTACCTTGTCTGCCGACTCTCCAAGTTCAAGTGTTCTGCAGTCGTTGAATCGGATTGAGCCCAGCCCGGCATGTCCATGAGATCCAGTAGGCAGCACATCAGAATGCATTGCCGCTGCCGCCATTGACCGCCATTGCCTCTTTTGTCAGGGGCCAACAGCTTGCAGCAGCTAGGCAGCTAGAATCTAGAAGCTAGCTCGAGAGCTAGGCAGCAGCCGACTTGCGCAAAGCGGTGCGGAGTTCCCTGATCGCATCGACGGATTCCCGGATTAAAGGCTTCAGAGTTGAGGACATTTCAGTGACGTCAGCCCCAATGCTTGCCAGGATTCATGACCATGCTGTCATGCGGTCTCAGAAGCGTTTCCATTGTGTGTACCATGCGAAAACGCCTCCCTTCCTAGCAGCTAGCAACCGTGCCGTGATGAATCGTTTGATGAAACAACTGTTGAGCTCCAGGTTCTCGATGGCGTCGAAAAGGAAACAACCAAGCGCCGCCAAATCGAAGGCGGGTGCAATTGCAACATTGTAGCCGGAAGTCTTTGCTTTGGCCCCGGTCTGGACCTCGCGAGCGACTTTTTGAGTTTAATACACTGTGTTTGCCAACATGTGTCGGCAGGGGAGGTAATAAGCGGCAGCGACTGGCTGCCAACGATACCGGTAGTAAGGTAGCAGCAGTAGCAGCAGCAGCAGTAGCAGCAGCAGCAGTAGCAGCAGCAGTTTTGATCAGGGTAAGACAAGGCTCGCAGCACTGAGGAGGGGCTTTGCATTGCATACTTGGCAGGCTAAGCCGGTGAAGCAGGAGACCGCCCCCGCCGACGCTCAGCCGATGCCTGGTTTGATGGAGCTGGACTCGGACCTGCTTCCGGATGCTTGGAAGGATGACGCGGCCGGCATACCTGCATCTTCGAGGCCTTCCCCTGGTCTGAAGAAGCAGAAGGTGATGATCATTCTGACGTGTGTCATCTGTGGCCGCAAGTCCCAGGCCCGTAGCTGATTGCTATGAGTATTTCGGATGTAGGGTTTTGACTTCACTTTGCTTGACTGCTCCAGCTCGAGACTCTCGGACTCTTCCATTCCACGCTTGATAACAGTAGCCATTTAATAGCCGATAGCCCTATAGGCTGGCCTAGCTTATCGTTGATAGCTGCGTAGGAGCAGGCATGCAGTGTTAATCTTGCTCTGCAGGTCCAGAAATGTGCTGTGTGCATTCGCTGTTGTTGCTGTTACGGTGTTGTTCGGTGTCCGTGATGATCATTTTGTTGTCGCGAGACTCAAACCGACGGCCCGGGTACTTGGGACTTGGGCCAACTTGGGTTTTCGTAGTTTTTGGGCTTCGGACTTTTGTAGCCCATAGGTTAAGATGCCCACCAGAACTCCAGGACACTCCATGGGGCTTGTACGACGAGCAAGGAAAACCCGTTGGGATTCTTTGCAGACGGGACAAAAAGATCATCGTCCGCATCTATCCTGGGGAAGACGTGGCCAAGGTGTGTGACAAGCTGGAACAGGATCCGGCAGTCAAGCAGATCGTCCAGAATGCCATTAAAGTTGTGGAAGAAGAGACTCAGATCCAGCTGAATCCTCCGAGCCTTGTTCAACGCAGTCAGCAGCAGGGGTATCAAGTGTACTACAAACTAGCCTTTTTGGATCAGGATGAAATGACAAGTCTCTGCAAAGACATGACCCCTTCCGCATGCGGCTACAAGCCCGTGGAGCTCAAAGTTGAAAACGGCGGGACTCAGCTCGGGTACTTGATGAGCCCAGTGGGCATGCCGGAGCAGCTGTGGAGGTCATGCCGGAGGGTCAAAGTCATCGGCTCCAAGATTCTAGAGCACAACGAGCTGTTTCTGCAACCGGAAAACCAGCTTGCTCAGATACAAGGCACAAACACATGGAAGTGGATCACAAAGACAGAGCTGGAGAAGCGCGAAGCAGCTTTGAAGAGCAAGTCCGGCGGTCTCAGGTACACTGATGTCGTGCAGAAAGCCCTGGAGGTGAAAGAACACAGGAAAGAGGAGCTGGGTGCGGGCAAGGCCAACGATGAAGCCGCAGGTCCGTGGTGTGATTGGCTTTGCTTGTTCGTTTTATGCAATAGCATTTCCTTTGAAACCTATGGCATAGATCCTGATGTTTCGTTTGGCATGCTGTGGAGCTTGGTTTCAGTACCACGTCTTTTGAAACCTATGGCATCGATCCTGATGTTTCGTATGGCATGTTGTGGAGCTTGGTGGCATAATTTTATGGACACTCGTTTTCGGTATGGTAGCATGCTAAATCGAGAAGCAAAGGCTAGGAGTCCATGACGCGCAACTTGCAGGGCACTTCAAAGCTCCGAAATTGAAATTGGTAATTTGCCCACAGTCCCACAGGCAGCACACAACACAGGTGTAAAACAGTTCTGGTAGCCACACCTCAGTTGCAACATGGTCCTTTGCATCGGGTAGATCAAAGATGCCTAGGAGGATTCTGTGAATACCAAAATTACCAAAAGCTTTCAGCCAACATGTGCTCCCAAACACATGAGTGCAGCGTAGCAGTGCAGTCCGAGAGGACATGCAGTGGTCGAGAGCGAGTCCGAGGAGGACGAAGCTGCGAAGCAGCTGAAGCAGCTGCATGCGGATGCACAAGCGTCGGGCTCATTGGAGATGAACCTTGGGACGCTTGAGGAGGAAGACAAGAAAAAACCGAAAGGAAGGGCAGCCAAAGCCAAAGCTGGCTCGAAAGCCCGCAAGGAGTCCCCAAGCCGACTCAGCCGAGGTGGCCGGTCCAGCACGACTGGGAAGGACAAGGAGAAGGAGCTTCAGTTGGACGATGCGAACTTGAGCAAGCTGGCCGGCAACCTTGCTCGCATCGCGCAGCGCATCAACAAGATTCCTGAGTGCTTCTTGAAATTGAACCCGGAGTGCTTCACCGTCGCCAACGGCCGTTCGGTGGACGCGGTGGGACCTTCTCACGCCCTCCTCTGGATTCGGATCATGTAGATAGCAAAACTGTTCAACATAGCGACACAATCATTCAATTAGTTTTTAAGTGAATTCATTCAACAACTAATTCAATGATTGCGTCGCTGTGTTGAACGTTTTTGCCAATGCATGGCCAGACTGCTGCTGCTGGTATCTGCTATCTGCTAGCTGCTAGACAACATGAGCAGTATCAGTAACAGTGACAAAGCAATATGATCCACTGACTGTTTGGGCTTACGGCTTACGCCTTATGTATGGCGGTTTAGCGGTAGCAAGTTTCGGATGCAGGCGAGGCGGATGCTCACGCAAATGGAGAAAGAAGGCGACAAAAACCAACATCTCCTTCGACCTTACGTGGTCGCAGCCGAAGCAGCCACCCTCTTGTCCGTCAAGGATGGCCTAGACAAGGTCAAAAGGATGACCAAAGCCAACAGGCTCATGCACTTGGAGGCAATCAAGGCTGTCAGCTGGGACGTGCCGGTGCAAGTGCAGTGTGCGCACACCGTGGCCGAGGTTGAAGCAGCTTTCGAGGACTTGTTGCAGAGCTGTGCCGCCTCCAGCTCCAACTCCAAGGAGTCCAAGGAGGCCAAGGTTGAGAGGATCATCGCAAAGATTGCCCTCACTCCCAATTCGGCGGCCACCTTCGATTGGAATGAGCCCACATTCGACGGCTTGCTGACCGGCTTCCAGGCACTTCTGGAGAGAAGCAAGCTTTTCGGTGACGGGAACACGGACGTGGATGACGAGGCAGCTTCCATGGAGGCACGGCAATGTTTCGAGTGTCTAGTGAGTCGACTGCACTTAGTGACTTAGTGACTAGTGGGGTAGATGTTGTTTCAGCTCTGAGCGGATTCGGAGTCTGCAAGTGCAGGGACGCAGGGGTAAGGGGGGCAAGGCGGACAACATTGAAGATATTCTGCAGCTTCTCGAGTTGGAGCAACCAGCAGCTACCAGCTAGCCAGCAAGATATCGCAGACAGCGATTAGTTTGCTATTATGGCATGGCGGTTTATACGCGAGCTTGATTTGCTTCAAAGGCAAACCTACCTATAGAAAAGCTTTTGACATACATTTTGAAAGGCTGACTGCTTTGTCGCTGACAAACCTCCTGCAGGTTTGATCCACAGAGTTGTGCTACAAACCTTCCTTGAGCTTGCAGCTTGACCGTGATATCCTCTGCATGCTGCCCTAGAAAAAATCTGTAGGCTCTGCCTGCTGTCATTGCACATTGCACACAAGCCACTTCTATGTAACATTGCAGTGCAATTTGCAGCCGACAGCATGCGCCCTTGAACAGGGGCAGCGTGTGTGTGAACGTCTCTCGTACATGAGGCAAGCAAGGGGCTCATAACCCGATCTCGCTTGGTAGCCGTCAGTCTTCGTGCTGCAAGATGTTGTTTATTGTCGTGTCAGATTGCAGCTTTGTCAAAGTTTGATGTCATTTCCATTTGCAGGGGGACACAGCATGCCACTGGGACTGTGCGACTGTGTCCAACGAAGCTACCAGCTACCAGTGACATGGGAGAGGAAGGCTGATCACGTTCCTGTACCTGCAGCAGAATTTGATAAGTTTGTGACATCTTCATAATACAAGCTGTGTATGGTGCCATCTTGTGATATCCTCGCTGTGCAATCCAACATTGGTCCATTGCTCAGCTCAGCAGTCTTTGCAGGCTCACATGACATGTACGGTTGCAGCAATCTGACAGTGCTTTCAGGCCCACTCCACAACTAAGCAAGCAAGCACATTGTAATGAGAAGCCATCCGACGGTGCGGTGCGACTTACCGCTTCCAAGTGTGTGTCGCGGGGTGTGTGTGTGTGTGCGCGCGTGTGTGTGTGTGTGTGTGTGTGTGTGTGAGCGTCTGTTTGCGATGCAGTCTTAGCTGACAGTTGCACGCATGCACGGTGCACACATGCACGATGCACACATGCACGGTGCTGCTCATGTCTGTACATAATTTCTTGGGCATCCTGTCCTCCCCATGGCGGCTCCCTCGAAGTACTCAGTCAGTAGTAGTCGTCCATGTAGTTTGTAGTGTGAGTTGGACACTGTCCATCCATGCCACTTCGACTGTCCCGATAAGATACCTTCGCAGGTTTTTCAGATCATGGTCAGTGAATGCCTGGATGTCATCATGAAAGCATTGCAGCGACATCATTTCCTGCCAGAAAATCAGAATATGAAGCATCTGTGCAAAACCATGTCGGTTACAGTCTTGAGTTCATGTAGGTGACTATGACGCTGACCATATGGCCCATAAGGGTCAACGGTGGGGCATCGGTGTATAGGTGCTGACTGCTAGTAACTGGTAACCAAGTCCATAGATAGAATCAATCCACGACCAAGCGTCCTGAAGTCGTAGGTCGTAGGTCCCAGCTCCCCAAGTAAATGATGCATGCAGAGCCAGGCAAAACCAGAAGAGGGAAGAGTGATTGAAAATTAAAATTTGATTACGTAGGAGGCATTGAATCGTTTTTTGGAGTGTTCCCTTTTCCAAAACAAATGCCTATTTGACGATGGCGTTCTGTCTTTTTGTAGCTGCAGCTTCCTCGTTTGACTTTGATACGTCGGAGCCTGAAATCTTCACAAGAGACATGCATTCTGGCAAAATCATGAACCCGAGATTTCCCGATGTTTGCAATTGCCAGGTCATCGCGGAATCCCTCGGGGAAAGCTTTGCTTGTGACAGTTTCTTCCGGTTGCTGAACGGTGGCCGCTTGCACCTGAAGGAGCTCAAGGGTCTGACTGAGGGCCTGCTGACCAAGATCACCGAGTGGCTGCAGGGCCAGGACGACAGTGGTGTGGCAGATCCCGTGAAGAACGTTTGCCTCTCCATCTCGGCCATCTGCAAAGCATTCTGTGTCATGTTGTCGGCAGACAACACCTTTGGCGCCACGGTGGAGGACTTGCAGAAGATCCGAAACTACAGTGGCACCGATTTCCTTGAGAACAGCGTGAAGAACAGTTTGCAGTCCGAATTCTGGGCCGCTGTGGCCAATGACATCATCAAGACGGGTGTGGCGACCATGAAGCATTTGCCTCGCTATCGGACGTTCAGAGACTGGGTCGCGGGCAGTCTCGACCAGGAGAAGCTCAAGATCTTGGTGGAGGAAGTCCCGGCCATGAAGGCCGAAGTAAGGCAGGGCATGATGGACAAAGTGGAGACGCCAATGCTGGATTCACTCTTGAAGTCAGCTTTCTCATTGATTTTGTGCTCCAGCCCGGGCCCGGAGGAGTTGGACCTCTATGCGGTGATCGCGTCAGGCTTGCCGCACTTCGAGGCTCGCGAGGGTGTCTTGGACGCGATTTCCAAGCTGAAGCGTTGGAAGGAAAAGCATCAGGTGGCAGTGGAGCTCGTGAACCTGGAGCAGGCCTTGCACAAGAAGGACACCATTTCCCTCGAGGAGCTTGCGACCCTCATCTCCCAGCTTAGCCGGGTTGACATGAAGCCGGAGGATGCGACGAAGTTGTTCAAGTTGGTGCCGCGCATGTTGGCGACCGCCAAAGTGGAGGTGCGTTGCATTGTGAAGGGGTGATGTGTCACTTGAACGGTTCACATGTGTGTCGGATGACCCACTGCTAGCTAGCAGCCTGTTTGTTGATGATGCAGCCATTTAGTGCATTGAGTGCGATCCGGTGTCGAGCCCCCAAAACTTTGCAACAGTCGAAGTCTTAGAAACGACATTGGGATGATTGGGTGTTGGGCAAAACAAAGTCTTACTAGGACTACTGTGGCAATGCGCAAGGATCCGATTGCATGTGGGTTGGGTAACATCGGATAAAGTGGCCAAGGCTGTTAGAACAAGGATTAAAGCCGCTGCATTCATGAGTGTTGACAGTGTTCTAGATTCTAGACTGTAGACAGTGTAGTGTAAACATTGCAGGTGACAGCTCTTGAACTCCACACGTGAGCCTCGTGACTGTTGAAGCTTGAAGCCCGTAAGCCTCAAAGTATGCAAATTCCTTTCAAACAGCTCTTTTGCCGCCAGCCACAACCGCCAAACCCGAGGAGGCCAGCTACTTAGTCCGTAAAAATGCAGTGGAATTGAAACCTGGATACAGTGTCCATAGATTCCATAGATTCCACAAACCCCCAGCCCAAAAGTCCAGGGCTGCTGCATGTTGATGCTGTGTGACGGTTGGCCTGTGGAAGTGCAGTTAGACCTGACCTATACTTTAAAAGCCTAAGTGTACTACACATCTACGTACAAATCTGAAGTATGTGGCCTCAGCTAGTGGCGGAGCTCGTCGCGACAATCATGCCATGTTAAAGCAACCTGTGCCATTACACACATTTTGAGCCATTTCCAGAACTGAATTACGTGGCTTGCTGGTAACTGGTAGCTGGGACCTGCTAACTTTTTACGTTGTGTTACAAAAGCCGTGCTGAAATGTGTTATTTCGACCAGGCTACTGATGTCAACATCCCGCAAGCCACCTTCAAGACCCGGTGGCAGTGTTTGAAGCTCTCCATCAAGATGATGAAAACGGCAACACCCGCCCAAGTGCAAGAGTACCTCACGTCAGTCGTGGACATGTTGTTCTTCGCATCGTCCTTCGTTTGGGAGCTCAGGAAGCTGGAAAAAGCGGATGTCAAGGTGAATTGCCTCGAAGCGGTAGCAAAGCTTGCCGAGGGATGTGCAATTGCCAGGCCAAGTGTCAGACAACGGAAAAGCTCATTGCGGAAGCTGCCGATGATTCAATGCCGGAGGAGGTGGCTCAGGTGTACGACTCCGGGGTGTCGTCCGCCTTCGAAAGCCTCCTCACCCATGAGGTCCTCTTGGAGACTTTGGGCGCAGTTGCTGCATCCTTGCTGACGGATGCAGCAAGCTGCAAGGCAGAGTTGACCGAGGCCACGGGTGGTGTGCACGACACTTGGAAGAAAGACCTGGACCCGAACGACAAGGAAGCCGTTCTCCAGGCTGGTCGAGGGACGGTTTGTTTCTATGAATGCGGAATGGAATTGTCAAGTCAGTCGGTGTAGAGTCTAGTGGAAGATCGTGCATGGACGGCAATTGGTGACTGGTACCGGTAAGGCGGTAAGGCAAACCTTCTTCACAAGAGGATTGCAGGGATGCTCTTTTTCGGACATTGGAACCTCGGGACCCTGAGGTCATGCAGGCCAAGCTCTCCAAGTTGTCACCCGCGAAGCTGCGCAGCTGCTGCGACTCTGCCCAGAAGGCATCCCGGTATAGTCGTATTGTCTGAGTGCTTCTATGATTCTATGTCTATTCTATGACTCTATGACTCTATGACTCTGTGCTCTATGCCATGTGACACCAATTCAAAGGGCAGCATGTAGAAATTCTCCCATAAGTCACTGAGCTCTGCGTTGCAGGTCTATTGGATTCGGATTTGGTTAGGGCCAGAATGTTCGCGCAAAGTTCTTGCAGACTTGGTCAAACGAGGCATTTAGTCTAGTTACTGCTTTAGTCTAGTAAGTCTAGTGAGTCTAGTAGTCTCGTCTAGTAACTAGTAACTAGTAAGGGTGGCTGATTCAACGCTGTTTTGCCCTTGATGCACAGCTCCAGGGAAGCTAGGTCAGCTAGGTCGCGAACTAGCCAGCAGTGCTGCTTGCGGTAATGTATCCGAACACTAACTCCCTACCTTGCAGCTGTTCCGAGAATGCAAACACAAAAGCAGGAAGCAGGGACAGCCAGCTAACCGCTAAAACAACGTCAGGGTTTCACTGTACTGTACACACAAAGTTGCAGCAACCTTTTATGCCGACGTGCAGATGGGGAACCAAACATCTATGGCAAGCTGCAGCTAGACTAGGCAGCTAGATTATCCAGATAGCTCATAACAACT